GGCATTTATCGGTTGAGAAGTCTGGAACCATCACAGCTGCCCATGATTCAGTCCCCTGAGGCCTGCTCCAGGTTTGCTGGGGCCCTGGCTTTGCTTTCATGGCCCATGCTGAACTGTGCTCCTCTCCCAGCGTGGTGCAACAGACCTTTCTGATCAACCAGCCAGGTTGTCTTGGGCTGGAAATTTGTTTCACTCTGTCTTTTTGTGGGTTCTGCTGCTCTAGAATTTGTTTAGAGTCATTTTTTACAGTATTTGGAGGGGTTTGGGGGAGAGCTCAAGCAAGTTACTGCTTTTACTCTGCCATCTGGGATCTGCCCCCTATGACTTGAGTTTTTAAAAATAAATTTGAAGCAGTTTTTAGTAGCTGGAGAAAATTCAATGCAGTTGTACTTATGAACATCAATTCCTGCTTTTTTCCTTTGCTTTTAGATAAGCATCTGCTTAGTTACTAAAACCAAGTTCATAGTCCTTTACATTTTAGGAAAGCTCTGGAAATGTGCACAAAGGGGGGTGTGTGTGTGTGTGTGTGTGTGTGTGTGTGTGTGTGTGTGTGTGTGTGTGTGTGTATGTTTTATGTGAGTAGCAAAGAGTTGCCTTAAGTTAGTGCTTTTATTTTAGGCCTGCTGTATTCCTCCTTGAAGGAGTAATTTTTGGTGGTTGGGTATACCGATAGTTAATGAGTCTAAATTTCTACCTTTTTTTTTTTAAGATCTTTAGAAATGTTTGAGCCACTGTAACTTGAAAAGTATTAGATAATTCGTTTAGGAAGACAGAAAAAGTAGTTGAATAAAATGTGTCAAATAGAAGGGGGATGAACAACCAAAAATCATCTCCAGAATTTTGGAAAACTAAAAAAGAAACGAAGCCAGGGTAAACCTTCAATTTGTAGGAATCACCGTTCTGATGACACTTCTTTAATTACTTTCAATTCAGTTCAGTGAGTATATTAAGTACTTCAGTGAGAAAGGGACTCTTGCAATGAAAAATACCTTCCAGGAGCTACAACATGCACTATAACAAATAAGTAAATAAAACATCCTTTAAGGAAGGAGAGAAGCACTAACAATTAGGAGAATTAGGCAAGACCTCCAATAGCAAGTGGTACCTGCCCTGAGCTCATCTTGAAGGAAGCTAGGGATTCTAAAAGGTGGACCTGAGGAGTCAGTGCAGCCCTCCCAGGCAGGGGGCTGCAAGGCAGAGACAGAATGGTAGAATGTTTAGTATGTGCTCTGGGGAGGTCAGAAAGAAATCTGGAAAGATAGGCGAGAACTAGATTTCGAAAAGCTTTAAATGCCAAACAGGGTAGTGTTTTGTTGGGTTTTTTCCCCCCTAAAGGCAATAGCATTTTAAAGCAGGGAAGTACTGCATGGTGGCTTCAAACTGCATGTTAATTTCCATTCCCAAGCCTTGTTGTTTAACAACAAAGGTGCAAAGTGTATTTTAAGTATTTTTTCAGAGTTTTTAAGCTGCCTGAGTGCTATTTTTCCTTCATTTGAAGATTTATTGAATGGTTACTATGTGTATAGATAGTACTGAACTAGTTTGTGGTGAGAAGGGCTTTTGAAAAGATATTTTTTTCTGAGAAGTCATAAGATGAAAACAGTGCATTATCATTGGAAAAGCACCAGATTTGAAGCCAAACTGTCTGACTTCAAAGCATAACTTTGTCACTTACTATCTATTCAGCCTCAGAAATAGTTACGTATTTCCTCTTCACTCCAAAATGAAGAGGTTTAACTAGGCTCTAGTAAGGTCTTTTCTTGCTCAGAATCCAAGGTCTTAAGAAGGTCATGAAAATAGATGTTATAGTGTAACTGTTAATTGTATCAAACATTAAAAAAAATTGCAACGTGTATGGAAAACATTATTTAACTTTTTGAAAAACAATGAGGGAGGAAGTTCCTTAAAAATACTAAATACAAATAATAAAATTGATAATGAAATATGAATAGAATTTATTTGTGCATTTCTGTTTCTTTAACTCTGGGCTTCAGTGCAAGTAATTGTTAATTTCTATTGGTCTTGTAAATTCATGATGTTGAAACTTGGACTTTTCCCCTCTCTATTTTTTTCTGTGTTGTAGATAAATTAAGATGACCTTAAGGAGGAAAAATGAATAAAAGTACAACAGCATCTCATATCTCTAATACCAGATAATAAGGATAGTATCTGTTCTGTGATGGGAAAGAGACACTATGTACATAGGTGTTGATAAGTTTTTGAGTCATAAAAGTGACTCAGTGACTTTCCAAAATGTACGTTTTAGGTTTAGGCTAAATGTGTTTGTTTTTTTGTTTTTTAAATTATAAATTTATTTATTTATTTTTAGTTTTCAGCATTCCCAAGGTCTGACAATTAGTTAAACGGCTCATTCCATTTGCACATTCAGAATGAGCCAATTTTCTTTTGTTTACCTCATTACCTTTAACACCCAGATGTTTCTAGATGACAGTTTTAATTTTATTTGTTAGTTATACTGAATATTGGTCAATAGCTTAAACATGGTAGAGCATAAAAATAAGAGCTAATTGTCTTCAGAAGCTTTCAGTATTATAATTTATCACAGGCTCATCCTGAATGTGCAAATGGAATGAATGAACTGTCTAATTGTCAGACCTTGAGAATTGAGCAGAGCTACTACATTAAGCAAAGAGGATAGATAAACAGAACTGATATATAAACACTTGTGAGTCATTAATGACAAACAATTACCAGCCATTTAAAAAAGGATAATCTGAGAAAATTTAAGTTCTGTATACCACTTTTCTGTCTTACTAGTCATTTAGTCTATAACTATTCCAATCTACATTTCCTGCTTTTACCAAATTCACACTGACTAGGGATTCTCCATTTCTTCACATTTGTTCTTATTTTCTGTATGATAATTAATCTTTTAAAATTTAAAACTACATCTGACTAAACTATTAGCACTGGGTTAGACATTTTCTCAGTCAGTTAATTTTCATTGTGAAGACTTTTCTGTTAAAAAAAAAATAGGGCTTTTGGTTTTGTTTTGTTTTTGTTTAATTGCTAACCACTTATTTTAGAAGTAAGGTTGGCTAATAAAACTTTAAAATGAATCTAAATCTTCTTAATCTGGAGGATATGCTACCACCCTGAAGAGCCTGATTTAATTTGAATGAATAAAATGTTCCTTAAACTTGAGAACTTGATAAAGAGTTGTCCTTTTAAGTAATGACTAACAGCCTCAAGTCAGTACTACTGTAGACTAAAATTTAGTATCTAGTTTTAATCTTTAACTCAAAGTTCTTGGCTTAATTCAACCAGCAGCTCCTTCCTTCTCCCAACACTATTGGGAAACAATTATTATTATCTCACAGGAGTTACCAGTCTGTTAGCCTCCTATGGTAATCTTTATGTTTGTATTTATAAGTAATGTATTATCTCCTTACCTCCACTAGTTCATATTATCATCAGCAAAATTTGAGGTTCATTGTGTTCTGAATGGGAATATAAAGATAGATTTTATAGTTTTCAGGAGCAGCATCTTGGATGAGTCCATTTTCTTTTGTACCTCATTGCTTTTAATTACCACTACTAGCAAAGTAGCAGTTCGTCTAACATTACAACTTTCAAATCCCTCTTCTTTCCCCAATTATACACTGTAATCGCTGGTACTTATTATAAAGTACAAAGGTATAAGGATAGAAAGGTTGGTCTCTTTTGATGTCAACTAAGAAGTTATAGCATTTTGCACAACTGGGTAGTAAGAAATTTGACTATTTTTAAATAAATTTTTTTTAAGTGCTAAACATACTTTTTATTTAAACCCACCAGGATCATAAAGATAGGAGGTACAATTGTGTATTAGATTATATTCTTCATCTTCCATTTGGCTTCAAGACAGAACAGAGGAGTACCCCCTTCCCTGGTATTAAATCATAATGTACTATGATTAACCCCACTACTTATGGTTGAAGAGAACATTGTTTTATTGTGAAATTTGCTTTGTCGTGGAAGGTTACAAGAAGGACTCTTTAGGTAGACATTTTCTTTGCTCAATGTATTCTTGATTGAGAGTCTACTATCTTGGGGCAGTTGGGTATTGTGGCAAAGGTTCTAAATACTAGAGTTAGGAGAGATTTGGGTTCAAATCCTAGTCTTGATGTTCTTTTTAAAAAGAGTAGCATAATGACTACAGATGGTGACAACACATGTGATCTTCATCTCTTTGACCCTCAGTTATGTTCTCTGTAAAATGAGGATAATAATGCTTAACGCGCTATCCAGTAGCTCATCGAGATTTTTTTGAGAAAAGCACTGTGTAAACCTTAAAGTGCTATATAATTAAATTGTTATCACTGCCTCTTGAGGTCACTCATTCTACTTTTGGACAGAACTAATTATTAGGGAATTCGTCCTTACAGAAAACCTAAATTGCCATTCATCCAACAAGTTCTGCCCTATGGGATCAAATAGAAAAGGCCTAACCCTTCCTCTAAATAACATATTTTCAAATATTTTAAGACCACCATCATGTCCACATCTAAGTTTTCTTTGCTAGGCTAAATATCCACAGTCCTTGAAACAGAATTCCTACAGCAGGGTAATGACATCAGGTCCCTTCACCTCCTTAGGGATAACCCTCCGTCTTGTCAAACCCTTCCTAAAATGTAGAGTCAAGAAATGAACCCAGTACTACCTGCAACTGTTGTTGAACCAAATCCTGGACCATCCTGCTCCAGGCTATATACTGTGGGGACCTACACTGGTAGTGCCTCACCCATTCTTACCTCTCCCTGACCAAATATTAATATATTGTAGCCCTGTGTCCTATTCCCTCTTCCTCATGGGACTGCTAGTTAATCTGATTAATATTTTAAAATTAATTAGGTTTCATGACAGAGGTATCCCTTGAATTCCCTCCCTACAAATACCTACTATGTGTAGGCTCAGCCCTGTTAATCTAGTTTACTGTTTGGACTGAAAAATAACAATTATGGCCATTTGACATAAATAATATTAATGTTTTTGTTAAGGCAGCTAAGAATGGAGCAACAGGTGTGGAGCTGGACATTGAGTTTACTGCAGATGGTGTTCCTGTCCTAATGCATGATGAGACAGTAGACAGGACTACTGATGGAACGGGACGTTTGAGGGACTTAACATTTGCTGATGTTAGGAAGCTTAATCCAGCAGCAAACCACAGATTGAAGTAAGTACTTCACCTTCCCTTTAGCTGTCTTTTTAATTGGTTTGGAGATTGATGGGAGATACCCTATCCAGATGATAACTGTCTTAAATTTGGAAGTGACCTTAAAAGTCTCTCTGGTATATTATATACCTTGCTGCTTTCGGGCATTTCAGCAAAGATGGAAGTAAGGCGTGGTGATGCTTGTAAGTATCTGCTCACTGTCACTTATGTCATATAATTACATCAGTTTCTTTAAACTTTCTATATTTTTGTTTTCCAACATTTTAATAATTTTTTATATTAACTCCTATTTAAAAAAGTTATTCTCTAAAAACTCTTAAATTAAATTATCTATATTTTTCAGGCAAAGAATGGCAGCTGGGACATTTATATAGGATCAGATCAATGCCAGCATAGTAGCCAGGCATAGTTAGGAGTATTGCTTCACACATGGTTTTCATATATGCTCTCAGTTATTTTTTCCAAAAACATGCTTTTTTAACATTTACATTTATTGCTGGTGTTTAGTATATATTGTAAGATCTTTATATTCTTTTCTATTTCACTTGCACTAAGCCAATGATTTTTTTTTTAAATTTATGGAGGTTGTTTTTATCTCCTTAGTAATTACTTTGCACTGGTCCCAAATTAACATTATTATATTCCTTCTTCTCACTTCTTCAAATAATAAAATATAATTAAAATATTTCTAAAACATCACCCATTCTTCTTAACTTATCTTCATTGGCAAATTTAATAAGCATATTTCATCAATAATTTAATCATTCAAGTTAAAATTTATGAAAGTATCAAACAAGCCTAATGCCTCAAGCCAAGTCTTGCTGTGTTGTTTCTTGTGTTAGCACAGGAACACTCTGAACATATATTCCTAGCATACGTAGAGCCCATTAACCCAGTTGTGGATATCCATCTATACTCTGTGTTGTTGTTTTTTTGTTTTGTTTTGTTTTAATTTTGGAGTCAGTGGGGGTTAAGTGACTTGCCCAGGGTCACACAGCTAGTTAGTAAGTGTCTGAAGCCGGATCTGAACTCAGGTCCTCCTGACTCCGGGGCCCGTGCTCTATCCACTGTGCCACCTAGCTGCCCCAATCCATCTATACTCTAAAATGAATATGACCTTATTTTCCTAAAACAATCAGAATGAAGGCACAAGAAAGAATTTTAAGAAGAATAGAAAGTACAATTCTTACACTGGCTATTTATGTTCACTGTTCTGACCACTGCTGCTCACTCTAATTAACTATATCATTGCTTTGTTATGAATGTAAAAAGGGCTGGGGAACCCCTTAGAGGTGAGGTGTTGTTTGTGTGTTTGTGTGTTTGTTTGTTTTTAATGTATTGGAAAAACTTTTATTTCCCCCTTAACTAAGAGAAGATAAGATAGTGGTTGGCCTTCATTTTCTTTATTAGTCCATCTCTGAAAGAAGTATAACTGGCCTTTCTCCACTGAAATCTTATACATCATGGTGCAGCTATAGAGCATATAGCCTGGAAGGTCTTAACTAGATCAAAAGACTTTAGTGTGCAGGCCTTATTTCTTTCATCTGATGAATAGACTAGCTAATTCTGGAGAGGCATATCATCATGTTGGCTGCAGAAATATCACAGTAATTCTTAAAGACTCTCCACTAAGTACAGAGGGGTTGCAAATGTGCATTTGACAAAGTGAGTACTCATGTAATAAAATGATATATTATTAAAGAATTGAAAAGTTGGAGCTATTCCTGAATGGTTGAAAGCTGTATCTCATGCTTTCTGAAGTGACTTATCTCCTGCTTATTGAGACATTGAGTCAGAAGCCACAGCCTTAGAGTTCTTTGAAAATAACTTACATACTTCTTTTTTTGTAGACTTAATAAGCACAGATTTACAAAGCTAGAGTTATGTTACAGATATTAACTTAGTTATACTCTGTCTAAGACACTAAACTCTGTAATTGTAATTTGGTTCATATTACTTTAAAATTCTCTTTAATTAGACGTGGTTGAGCAGAATAAATGAGGATTGATACTATTTCCTTGTACTGCAGGATTAACTTTCAAGACAGAGGAAGTCTGTTCAATTGAACTTTTGCTTTTTTCTTCATTTCCTGTGATCTTATTTTCCTTCCATTTTATAGGAAAAATTTCCCTGGTGAAAAAATACCTACTCTGAAGGAAGCCATTGTGGAATGCCTACATCATAACCTCACAATCTACTTTGATGTCAAGAGCCATGCAACTATGGTACAGTTTTATGCTATGGACCTTCACTTTAAAAAAAAAAATCCTATTTAGCCACTAATCATTTCCAAATTAATCATTTTAGGTGTGATTTTGTCATAAATGTATTTTTAATACAGGTATATCCTGCTTGTATCTCATCATAAAAATATAAATTGATAGGATAATAAATGTAGAAAATGTATTGTTCGATAGTTCTTAATTGCCTCCTAATGGGGAAATCCAAATATTTTGCATATCAGAGAGAACACAGAGGAGAAAAGGTCAAGCTATTTTTACTAGCAAAAAATGTAGAAAAGAATACTGATCAGATCTGTATCTCTTAAAATGATCGTTTTATCTAGGGACCTAGTTAAGTAAACAGTTTAAAGCCTAGAAAAAAATTGGCTCAAGTAAACCACTTTATTTTTATTTATTTATTTATTTATTTGACTAGGCAGTGAGGTTAAGTGACTTGCCCAGGGTCACACAGCTACTAAGTGTTATGTGTCTGAGGCCGGATTTGAATTCGGGTCCTCCTGAATCCAGGACCGGTGCTCTATCCACTGCACCACTTAGCTGCCCCAAGTAAACCACTTTAAAACTAAAAACTGTAAGCTTCTGATGCCCAGTGTGTGGTCATTTGCTTTTGGCTGATAAATTTAAGATTTCAGAATCCAGAATATTTAGGATGTTTAGATAGGCCGTTTAGAGGGTACATTTTCCTTTCACATAGATCTTGTCCCAAGGAAACATGGTTTCTGGTACAGTGTTTTTTGACATATCTAAGAGCATTCTTTTATTAGGAAGTCACTGTATGTTCATTAAATATCTTTTTAAAAGATTTGCTACATTCTTAAGTTTTATATCCTAGAACCAAAAATTTTTTCCTCTGAAAACATAGGCACATTATTATAATGAAAATCATTGGGAATATATGACTCAGTTTATAGACAACTTTTTAAGAATATATTTTGTAAAATAAGATACATCCATACTTAAAGTGGGATACAGAGGTGGTGGTTTTGTTTCCCCCCCCCCCCCCCACGCATTTGAACAGAACAGGCAGGTGCTGTTCTATCTAAATAATGTTTCTTTTGCCTAGTTAGAGATTCCTGGTTATGTTATATAACACAATATGTTCAGTACTAGACAAACCCAGAGAAAGCCCTAGTTCCATTCCCATGTACTGGAGAAGCCCAGTTGCTTCTGTGAAGGGGGTGCAAATAGAAATAGGATTCCTGATGAGTTCCTAATGTGGTGGGAGTAGAAAGATTGGGACACCTATTCAGGATTCACTTGGCTGTTTTTCTTTTTCTTCCTTCATCCTCCAATATTCAGAGTGATAATAGGATACCTGCATTTCTAGTAATAAGCACTAGATTAGTAACATTCAGAATTAAGTGTTGGGTAGTGCACGGTGATTTAGTTTAAAAAAAAGGTTTTTAGAGTAGTAAAAAATTTATACACACGCACACAGTATGCCAAGTCTGATTTATGTACCAAGGAGTACCAAATCATATTTAAATGACTTGTACATACATCAAAATTGAGCCATCAGAGTAAAATAAGACAGCATACAGAATTTAAACTTATACTATCAAGGGATTAAAGAAAAATATTTGTCTATACAAAGGCAATTCTCATTCACTGATGAAAGGAAGAATAGGCTTGGATAGTTTCTAAATCATTTATATGAAACTCTTATTGCTTATGTTTGAATGTTCCATGACTGACATTCTGAAAATGTCCAGTATTTCAAACAAAATAATGAAACCATACAGTGTCTGTATGGAAAGCTAGAGAAGGACTACCCTTTTCCCCCCACCCTATTTCATCTCTAATTTACTTGGTGCTAGAGATAGATGAAATCACTTCTTATAGGACATTAGAACTAGAATGGAACTTACTTAGAGATAATCAAGTCTCATTTTGCAGATGAAGAGAAAAGGCCCAGAGACATGAAGTGATTTCCTCAAGGTTACAGAGCAGAATTGAGAGTCTGATTCTCCTGATCCTGCCCAGGGTTCTTTATACTGTGCCATCTGTGCCTTCTTTCACTTACTTGGGCTCCAGCCTGAAGAGAACTCCCTGTCCTCTGAGCTCCCTATTTTCCTAGCTGATAACTATTCGAGAAGTATGGAAATGTTTATCAAATATTTTAGCTTAAAGGAACTTTCCTAAAGGCTAACCCAGGATATGGGGGAAGAAATTTCAAACCTTTCCTTTTAGGAGCATCTCACCTGTACAATGAAGAGGTGAGACTACCAACAAAGAAGTAGAAAACAAAGTAGCAATACCACAGCTTCTACCCTATGTGATGTGAGTTTAAACATTTGAGATTTTATTGTATTTCTTTTAGCATCTCACTCTGGTGTCCTCCTTCCCACCCCATGTGATAACCTCTCTGAATTATTTGGCATTGCTATAGATGGTACATGATTAATTCTTGTTGACTGACATATTTTAAATGGCTTTGTACATATGAATCTTTCATTTTCTTCTCTATAGGCTGCTGATGCTCTAAAACATATGTATATGGAATTTCCTAAGTTATACAACGTCAGTGTTGTCTGCTCTTTCATGCCAGAAGTTATCTATAAGGTGAAATATAATATTTTTTAAAAGTGCTTATGATCTGTGATGATAATATTGATGTGTCAATATAGGTGCCAAGTTGAAATGAAGTAGTAGCATTTGACAATCTATATACATCCTATCACCAACCCTTCTGCCTCCTTTGTGATAAATAGCACCATTTTTTTTTTTCAAAATGAGTTGGGGACTTAGCCTTTGACAATGGAATGGGGCATCACTAAACCATGACCTATGTTGGTATTAACTTTCACATTTTTAGTACTAAACTTTACCAAGATGAATCAGTCAATTGATAAGGATTCATTAAGCTTCTGCCATGTACCAGTCACTTTGCTAGGTGATGGGGATGTGATTATAGCAACTTAAATAATCCTGACTTTCAACACTTGCCCAGCGTCACACAGCTAACAAGTGTTATGTGTCTAAGGCCGGATTTGAACTCAGGTCCTCCTAACTCCAGGGCCGGTGCTCTTTGTACTGTGCCACCTAGCTGTCCCCAGAAGCTTGCATTCTAAATAGGCAAATAGCAAGTACATGTGTAAGATTACACAGAATAAATATAAAGATAATAAATGCAAATGAAAGGCTTTATTTTACAAAGTAGTACTTGAGCTGGAAGACGGATTTTTTGGGATTCTGTGAGGTAGAGATAAGGAGTAAGTACATTCCAGGAATAGCCAGTGCAAAGTCATGGAGATGGAGAGTCATGTGTGAGGAGCAGAAAGCCATTTTGGCTGGATCAGCCTGCAAAGTGCAGGAGGGGAGTAATATCCATTGAAGTCATAGAGATAGGTTGGGGCCAGGTTTTGAAGAGCTTTTAAAGGTAGATCAGAGTTTATATTTGATCACAGTAGTAATAGAAAACTACTGGAATTTATCAAGTATAGGATTGAAAGGGTCAGAGTTGTGCTTAAGGAAAATTGCTTTATTGGTGGTACGGAGGAAAGACTGGAATAGTAAGATAATAATAAGGAAAGACTTAAAGTACAGAGACCAATTAGGTCATTTCAGTAATCTAGTTGAGAGGTGATGAGGGCCTGAATTAAAGTAGTGGCTGTGTAAGATGAGAGGAATTAAATGTGTGAAATGTTATAGCGGTAGAAACAGCAAGATTTGTCAACTGGAATAGTAGATACATGTGGTGGTGGAGAGTGAAAAACCATGAATAACACTGAGGTTATGAATCTGGGAAACTGGAAGAATGGTTGTGCTTTTGAATAGGTAAGTTTAGAAGAAGGGTAGGTTTGGGGAGAAGGAAAATTGAGTTCTGCCTTGGATGTGTTGAATTTGAGATGTTTCTAGGACTACCAGTTTGAAAGGTCCATTAGGTAAAGTGTGACTAAAGCTCAGGAGAGAGACTGGAGCTGAATATATTGATGTGAGAGTCTTCTGCAGAGAGATGACAAATTCATGGTTGAACTGATGAAGTCACCAAGAATGTATAGAAAGACAGTCTTGGGAAAATGTTCAGAACCCATAGTTAGGGGGAATGATATGAATGATAAACCAGAAATGTAGATGTAGAAAAAGTGGTCATACAGATAGGAGGAGAACCAGAAAGAGTAATGTCATAAAAACCCTGAGAAGAAAAAGTTATCTAGTAGGAGAAGATGGTCAACAATGTCAAGTACAGTAGATGGGGGGAGGGAGGAATAAGCATTAAGTGCTTACTGTATGTGCCAGGCACTATGCTAAGACTTTGCAAATCATCTCTTTTGATCATAGGTTGAGAAAGGATGAGGATTAAAAAAAGACCAATAGATTGGGCAATTAAGAGATGGCTAGTAATTTTGAAAGAGAAGTTTCAATTGCCTTATGAAGTTGGAAGCCAGCCTGCCAAGATTTGAGGAGAATGTTGGAACAGAAATCTGCTGGTGAAGATGAGAGGCAATAGGGTCTAGGACACATGTAGAGAGATTGCCTTTAGGAGATAGGGGCTCAATTAGGGAGTCTAGCCAGAATCTACCTTAATATACATTAAATATTGTAATCCTCAATATTATTAGAAAATACTGAAACTGCCTTATAATCATCTAAATTTTTCCTATTTTTTAAAAAGGATTCTTTGTGAATAGCTAGTATCATTTCATACAATATGCTGAAAAATTCTCAACCACAGACTTTCAAAGTACTCAAGTAACTAGATAGAAGGGATTCTCAAGATCATCCATTCCACCAGAAGTGTCAAACAAACAGCAGGCTCACATGGGGCCCACAATATTCCTGAGTGCAGACCAAACTGGATTAAAATGTTTTTGGCAAATATTTAACAAGATAAAAATACAATTGAACATAGGTAATATTTCAGTTTAACACTAATTGAAGATGAGGCCCACAGGGATCCTTATGTACAGCTTAATGACACTCATTTCTGTTTGAATTTGATACTGCTGATTTATCCCCTCTTCCCCTCCCATTTACATTAAGAAAACTGAGTTCTAAAGAAGTGATAAGGCTTTCACAAAGTCACAACACAACTAAAAATTTGTGATTTATTTATTCAATAGAAATGGGTGGGGAGGGAGATCACGAAGAAAAAGTGGGGTTAGGGCATCAACTGGGAAAACAGCCTTCTACTGTAGGGGCTTATTGAATCTTGTGGTTGTTTTAAGCAAAAAGTGGTAATCCAACCTTCACATTGTAATATCTGTTGTGTTGAGTACATTCACCAAATCTAAAGGCATAATTTAAAATGTTTTCCTCTGTGACTTTACTCATTATTCTCCAAAATTCTCCCTCAGATGAGGCAAGCAGACCGTAATGTTGTGACAGCTTTAACTCATAGACCTTGGAGCCTTAGCTATTTTGGAGATGGGAAACGACGCTTTGATTCTCTTTGGAAGCATTTTTTATATATGCTGTTGGATATTCTCCTAGATTGGAGTTTGCATAATGTCTTGTGGTACCTTTGTGGAGTTTCAGCTTTCCTCATGCAGAAGGATTTTGTATCTACGTAAGTTAAAATTTTTTATCATTTCCCATCACCCTGCTCTGATGCTTTTAAGGAATAAGAAAGATTTTTTTCAGTGGAAGTTTCATCAACATGGTAGCGCGCTAGCTCTTTTTAAAAACTGGGGGAAAGTGAAGAGATTGCAGTTGTGATGTGACCACCTCTTCCCCTGTATTCTTCTTTCCATTGAATCCCAACCAGTATTTCTATTGATTACATGTTTATCAGTCTTATTGCTCTTAACAGATTATAAACCCTTTGAGAGTATAGTCTGTTTTATCTTTATTCTGTATTCCCAAGCATTTCTCTGTACCCTCCTTATTGTAGGTTGCCTAGTAACTTCCTAGTATCACCTAGTAACTGTTCTAGATACAAAGGATAGTTGTCCAGTATCCTAATAGGCTGTCTGTATGTCTCTCCCCCTCTCTTCCAGGGCCTATTTGAAGAGGTGGTCAGCTAAAGGGATTCATGTTATTGCTTGGACTGTGAATACCTATGAAGAGAAAAAATTCTACGAAAGCCATCTTCAATCCAGTTATATAACTGACAGCATGTTAGAAGACTGTAGCCCTCATTTCTAGACCACTACCCTTTTGCAAGGACTCTGGTCTCAGAAACCTCTGCTGTCCTTATTCAAGGAAATCTAAATACTCAGATGTAGCCCTGAGTTCTTGAGGATCAGGTGATTCACAGAAGTATTAGTCAGAAATTGCATTTTAACTTGAATCAGAGCAGAATGGTGTGGTTGGTACCAAATTCCATAGTGTGCTTGAGTTCATCATGGCTGATTTTTGGGAATTGGGTCTGTGAGGAGGTTTGCCACTGCTTGCTCCTAATCCAACTGAGTTATATACAGAGACTCAGTAGTGATAAGCACAGATTCATGTAATTTGTACATGTTTTAAAAAATGACTGCAAATGTATGCAAAATGCATGTTGACTTAGACTGGACTTTTCTTACTTTTCACACTTAATGTATTCTTCCACTATTTGTATTTGGCAATGTTGAACAATGTATTATGGAAGTCAGATTTGGGAACCATACTAATAAAATTGTTAAAATGGATATTAAGCATACAACGCCCCAAGTAACAAAACAATTTGAGAAAGATATGGGATGTAATGCATTGGACAGAGTTTGCTTTTTTTATGTTAATACAAAGCCCCATCAAGTGTGTTGGGCAGGCTAATTATTAACGTTTATAGCAATTTAAACACAAATCATAGGAAAGTATTGAAACTTGCTGGTAAGATTGTTTTAAAGCAATTGAGATAGATAGATAGAACTGTATTACCTAGTCACAACAAATGACAGTCTTTTTTTAGACCCTCATGAATTTCTACCACATAACTTCCATTGCTACTTCAAGTAAATTAAATTATATGATACCTCTATATTAGTTTAAGGGTAAACATCTTGGGAATTCTTCATAAATGGCCTCTCTTAGCCCTCCTACTGAATCTCCTTACCAAAAAAGAAACGAACCATTCTTTTTAGTGAAAGCCATTCTTTTCTAAAGCTTTATTCCAGGCTGAAGGATAACATAGCTAAGAATAACCTCCTTAAGTCAGTCCTAATTGACCTACTGCCAATTGCATTGCTCCTAAGTAATTCCAGATTTCTCTTTAACTTCATTCTATTTATCTGCCAGCCCCAGCTCTCAATGCTATCTCTAGCACTTAAGTTGAAAACACTTTTGAGGATCATAGGCCTATAGAAAAAATATTTGAAATACACTTCAGTGTATCAGGAATTTATCAACTCTTCTTGCCTTCGCATTTGTGCTGCCTTGAGCTCCAATCTCACTCATTCTAATCCAGCTGCTTTTACTATTTGTTCTCTTTATTACTATTTCTACTTCCTGTAAGCACATCCAGTACTGTAAGGGCAGAATGAAAGGGTGGTGGGTCAACTGTCATCAATGGTAAAAGTAATATAAAAATATTTGCAGGTCGTTTTCATTTTTATTTGTTGCCCTTCCATTTTCATCCTTTTTGCCACTGTGATAGAAATTAAAGTTCCCTATGGATGATGAGACCCTCTGGAGGTTCCTGTTTCTGGAACACCTTCTACTTGCATCAAGCCTCCAGAATACAATTATAGAGCTTCCCAGAAGAGATCCAGAATTACTCACACATTTGGTCTAACTCTTCCACACAGAAAAAAACCAAGTGAATGGATAATGAACATATGTCCAAATGTCTACGTATAACATAGCGCCTGGCACATGGTAAGCACTTGATGTTTATTGTTTACTGACCAGAAGTGAAAAGGTTAGGTCCAGAATTAAACAAAAGTAGAGGCTAAATTACTTTCAGGAAATCACGAAGCTCCTTTAATTATGCCAAACCTCTCCCACCAATAAAGGCCCATCTCTTTTTTTTTTTGGCTAGGCAGTGGGGTTAAGTGACTTGCCCAGGGTCACACAGCTAGTAAGTGTTATGTATCTGAGGCAGGATTTGAAGTCAGGTCCTCCTGAATCCAGGGCTGGTGCTCTATCCACTTCACCACCTAGCTTCCTCAAAGGCCCATCTTTTTTATGCCAGTAGTATACCAATGTTACATGGCTGTGAGGCATAGGATCCAACAATCTCTGGAAAACAGTATTACACAAAGGACAATAGACAAGTGCATGTTGAGTGTGCACACACTGCAACACATCACAGAACTGAAGAAGTAGAGTCCAGGATGTTACAAATAAAGTGCTTGATTGGAAAAAGATGAGCAAGAGAGAGTACTTCACTGGTCTCCTGATGTCAGGAGAAATCAAAGAAGGCCCTTCAGCAGATTAGGTAGATCCCCTGAACTTCCTGTTTGAGAGGACATGGGCAAATGTCTAGATAGGTTGTAATGGGAATATCCAAATTGAGATCAGAATGAGCAGACTCTAAGCTTAGGACCATCAGTCTGTCGAGTTATATTCCCTTAAGGCCTCAGCTGACAGGAGGTGGGAAAACAGATTTAGCCTTTTAATTGCCCTTCTTAATCAGAATGGTGATAGCTAACATTTATATAATGCCTACTATGTGCCAGGCACTATGCTAAGCACTTCGTAACTATTTCATTTGATCCTCAAAATAATCCTGGGAGGTAGGTTTTGTAGGTATTATTGTTCCCATTTTATAGATAAGGAAACTGAGGCAAAGTGAGGTTAAATGACTTGCCCATGGTCACATAGCCGGTAAATGTCTGAGATTGGATTTGAACTCAGGTCTTCTATTTCCAGGCCCAATGTACCACCTGGCTGCCTTTGTGGTTCAAGGCTGAGCTCTCTTGGTGAGATACCTTACCCTAACTTAAATTTTCATCTCTGTAGCCTAGGTCACAACAAGACAGTGGCCATTTGTCCAATAATGACCAAAAAGCTCTGGAGTGAAGAGTTCCCTAGTTTTTTTAAGCTGTTAAGTTTTTTCTATCACTCTATGCAATTGAGTGAATAGAGGAAAGTTTTGGAGGCAATCTATAAGACCATTCAATTACTTCTGAAGGTGAGAAAGTTCAGGTGCAAAGGCTCAGAGATCTCTTTTTCTCTAGCCTAAAAATGATGTCTGAAAGGGTCACACATTGATGTATTAGAATAGCCAGCCTACTGGCTATTCTATAGTTACTGAAAAATCAGGGTTCATTTTCTTCCTGCTCACACTCTAGCGGCCTGATCTTGTACAAGTCACTTAAACTCAGTGCCCCTGGCAATCAAAACTGAAAGTTGCACCATCAATAAAGATCCTTGTGGGTAGAAGGAATCTTCTTGATTTGGAGACTTTGACAATGATAAAACGACAAGTCTAGACCAAAAGAAAAAAAAATCAAATGGAATGAAAAAAATTAAGGCAAAGGTATTTTGATTTATATGAAGTGATGCAGCACAGAAAAAGTATACCAAGATAGGGTCGAAATGGGTACATAATTTCCATATAAAGGGTGATACTGTAAGCAAGTTAGGAGAGCAAGGAATAGCTTACCTGTCAGATCTATGGAGAATGGAGAAATTTATGACCATGTAGATAGAGAACATTATGAAATGCAAAATGGATAATTTTGATTACATTAAATTGAAAGGCTTTTGCACAAACAAAGCCAATGCAACCAAGATTAGAAGGGAAGCAGAAAGCTGGGAAATAATTTTTACAGCCAGTGTCTCTGATAAAGGCTTCATTTCTAAAATTTATAAAGAACTGAGTGTTGATTGATATCTCTTTGACTAGGCCTGAGTGACCTGGGTCACATAGTGAAAGACCTTCATTTAAATATAGCCCACCTCCCAGAGTTGATTGGCATCCCTTGGGAACACCAACTTTTCAAAGGACATATAACCTGTACCCCCAAAAACCCCAATTCAAGCCAGTTCTGAACTGGCCCCCGTAAGGGGCCCCAGTTTAGACTGAATTCCCATGCAATGCATGTTAAGCCAGATTGAGAGAAATTAAACCATGGACACATGCACCCTGATTTCATTTCTCTCTTAGTGTAGACTCTGTTTTCAAATTGGGGTTTGTGGGATTCTTGGGGTTCATACCTCTCAGTCACCCCAGACTACTTGGCCACTCCTAAATCCCTCCCACAGTCTTTCTGTGTATAAGACCCATCATGGCCGCCATTAAGGTGTAGATTTTTAAGATCTGGCCAATGGCTCAGATTCAATCTGGCCCACTTGCATTAGCCATATAAATGTTAGATTCCTTAAGAGTCTGGCCAATATGGCAGATTCTTAAAATCTCACCAACCCTTGATCTTTGTGTTCTGATAAACCTTGTCTTTGCCTGAAAGAAGGTTGGATAATATTCATTTGGGCAGGACCTGTGTGTCGCTATTTTGGGGTCCCAGCACCCCTAAACCTCAACAGCCAAGAATTGGAAATTGAGGGGGTGTCCATCAGTTGGGGAATGGCTGAACAAGTTGTGGTATATGAATGTAATGGAACACTATTGTTCCATAAGAAATAATCAGCAAGTGGATTTCAGAAAAACCTGGAAAGACGTACATGAACTGATGCTGAGTAAAGTGAGTAGAACCAGGAGAGTACTGTATACTGTAACAGCAACATTGTGGTGATGACCAACTTTGATAGACTTAGCTCTTTTCAGCAATGCAGTGATCTAAGACAATTTCAAAAGACTCGTGATAGAAAATGCTATCCATATCCAGAGAAAGAACTATGAAGTCTGAATGCAGAAGCATGCTTTTTTCTCTCTGTCTTTTTTTTTCCTTTCTCATGGTTTTTCCCTTTGGTTCTTATTCTTCTTTACAATATGAATAATGTGGAAATGTTTAATATAAATGTATATGTATAGCAAGATGCATGTCATGTTGAGGAGGGAGGAGTGGAGGAAGGGGGAGAAAATTTAGAACTTAAAATCTTATAAAAATGAATGTTGAAAGCTAAAAATTAATTAACTTTTTAAAAAAAGAAAACCACCGTGTTTGCTTCGTTCATTCTGGAAACCTTTGTGTTTGTGTTGTCCATAGTTCTGTTAAGTCAATACAAAACAGTGACAACTGCAACTTTTAGTTTTAGTTTGCTTGAGGGCCCACAAATAAAGTACATTAGGGACAGGACTTGAACCCAGATCTTTTGGACTCTATTCACTGCCAGGCTGCTTCTTAGGAATGAATTATTAAGTGTTATTATTATCAGCTTTCACGGCACCTAGTTTGGTATGAAAGGGTAGTAATAAAAGGGGCAAGTCAATGCAACCCCATTTAGCTTTAGTGTTAGTAGAGCCAACAAACATTAAAGCTCCTGCTGTTAGCACAGCATTGCCAGCACTCAAAACATTTATGATAGAAAAACTACAAAACTGTTTTCTGGTCTTGTTCCCAACCCTCCTCCTCGTTTCCCACCGGGCTATCTATTCTCCTCAGAACTTCTCCACATGCTCCAGAAATGTCTTTATCCTGGAGAGGTCACTTGTTTGTCCTGAAATTTATACTTCAGAAGTACCTGCTGACCCTGGGGCCCTTCCCTCAGATTGGGATGGCACCTCCTGGAACCTTCATTTGAGGAGGGGCCCTAGGCTAACAATCTTTTCTTTTCCCAATTTTCTCCACCATGCCCCCACCCTGGATTCCTTCTCTACTTCCCTTTTTCAGATTCCTTTAATATGTTGTCTTCTCCGTTAGAATGTAAGCTCTTTGAGGGCCGGGGCTGTCTTTCTTCTTGTTTGTATTTCTATTCCTGGATTTCAAGCATAGGGCCTGGCACCTATGGAACACTTAATAAATGTTTGTTTACTGATAAACTCCATCAAAGAGATCACACATCTTATCACCAATATTTGCACCTGAATCCCCAGGCTACAAGACTGGGGTATTTTTTATTTAAAAGTCATCAGCACTTCAGTTTGTAGCCTATGGAAATCCACTTAACCCAGAATGTGCTTTGGATCACAAGTCAAGGTTCGTATTTTTATCCTCTAATTCTCTCTCTTTTTTTTTTTTCAAGTGAGGCAATCAGGGTTAAGTGACTTGCCTGAAGTCACACAGCTAGTAATTGTCAAGTGTCTGAGTTCAGATTTGAACTCAGATCCTCTTGACTCCAAGGCCAGAGCTCTATCCACTGTGCCACCTAGCTGCCCCATATATATGGTTTTATTTTTGTTTGTTTTTGTTTTTTTGGTGAGGCAACCAGGGTTAAGTGACTTGCCCAAAGTCACACAACTATGAAGTGTCAAGTGTCTGAGGCAAGATTTGAACTCAGATCCTCCTGACTCCAAGGCCAGAGCTCTATCCACTGCGCCACCTAGCTGTCCTCTAATTCTCTAATTCTCACTGCCTGTCTGTGGCACCACCTTTTTTGTTGTTATTTCATCCAAACAATTTAATTATAGCCGTAGTCTTGCATTTTCTCAATAGTTTGTTGCCTTTTTCATCTTTTATTTAGAGATGAGCTTACAGTCTGGAAGACCTGAGTTCAAATTCCACCTACCACAGATGATAGTTGTATTACACTGGGAAAGTCACTTCGCCTCAGTTTCTTCATTAGTAAAATGGAGATCATAGTGATGAGGATGGGATCTGGACCCCAAAAAAGAAAAACC